GCGATGTGAACTAGGTTTGCAATGAAACTGAAAACAGAAAACTAAGGAGGAAAACCGAAAAAAGGAAAAACATTATTATTATTATTATTATTATTATTATTATAGCATTTTTGTGTATTAACCTTACTAAAATAAAGGCATTGCAATAAATCTGTTACAAAAGTGTCAAGATATTTATTTACCAACGATATTTTTGTGGAGCTGAATGGGTGGCAGTGTTGCCATGCAGTGAGAAGGTTCTGGATTTGATTCCCAGCCCGGGGTCTTTCTGCATGTTTGCATGACCTCCCTGAGCCTGCTAGGATTCTCTTCAGGTACTCTGGCTTCCTAACCTGACTCCGCCAGATGGATTTGCTCCGCATATCTATCTGGAAACCTTCCGTAGAAGTAATTTTGGGAAGGGGCGAAAATACTGTTAGCTGATTGGCCTATGTTGGTGATAGACGGGCCAAATAAACCAATCAGATCAACGAAGCATATGATGTACTAACAGCCAGGCTACTCTTTAGCCAGGCTAAACCAGTCGGGAGAAGAGCAAAAACATCTTTTTCTCTGAGAAAAGCCTCCAGAGCAGTGTTTTGCTCTTCTGTCAGTGAAGAAATACTCTGTAATTCCGATAAAACTTGCTCGACAGCCACGCTAACGCTAGTTTCATCGGCTGAAGCCGCCATGTTCTTTAGACTGAACTGTCGCGCTTCTCGTTGCGTCACACCTCAACCCGCCTCAAAGCCAACGCTGATTGGACGTTCGTTTGGTGAACGGCTCCAAACTTTCTTCAACGGAGAGTCTCCAGACTGATTAGCGAGTGAAATCTTGAAAGCTCGTGAGATCAGGATGGTCTCACGAGGCTACTGGCTTCCTGCCACTGTCCAAAAACAGGAATTTCAGGTTTAGGTAAATAGGCTAATTGGCTTCTGTAAATTCACCCTCTGTGTGTGTGCGTAAATGGTTGTTTGTCTCTGTGTTACCCTGCAACAGACCGGCGATCTGTCCAGGGTGTACCCAGCCTCTCGCCCATGCCAGAGATAGGCACTGGTCTAACCGCATCCCTGACATAGACTTAGTGGGAGAAAATGCATGGATGGATGGATATTTTTATGGTATGCCCTTTACTATGGCAGAAACAACTGGAAACATTCTTGCCTTTTCAAATGAGTCCGCTACAGAAGGAGTGGGCATGTATGTGTTTGGTGTCAGTTTCCTTTTAGGTGTCGTGTTCTTCACATATTTAGAATGGTGATGGAGATGTTTGGATTTCAGGTGATGAATGGATGTGGACAGACTCTTTGCAGATGAATCCCCCCTTTAAATCTCAGCATGGTATTTTCTGCAAATCGTCATCGGTGGGTCTTTCTCAGAGATGGTGAAAAACAGTATGTCCACATTGCAGACATGCTGGCTCTCATCCCATTTCTGCATGCTGGTTGCGAGGTTCGCCTCGTCATCACAAGTTTTAGCCATGCTGTCTCAGTGTTAAATGTCTTTCGGCTGAAAATAAATTTTTGGCTCAGTTTTTGATGCATCCCTAATGTGAACTGATGCTTAATCTAGCTGAAAGAGCAAGCATTAGTTGTTTAAACAATCTCTCTGGTTATTATATATTCTCCAATGAATTAATAAAGTTTTACATGTAATTGTTCATACAGTACAATAAGAGTTTATCAGGTAGATATCTACTCTTAAACTTAATCAAATTAACTCTTGCACAAACGGGTGCAGGTCAATTTTGGAAAAAACTGGTTATTTTATGACAAAATAATTAACTATTCTGTATTTTAAATACCTACTTAACTACCGGCTTTAAGAGACTGAAAAGAACTGTTTGCGCCCCTGCCTCATAATTATATTAAGATATATGTCAATGTGATAACGTAAAAAGGAAACAGCCAGTAGTCAGGTTAACATACATTCATTGCTCCTGTGGCATATTTTCAAAGGCTTTTTATGTGGTATTAAGATAAAAGTATGGTATTTGTGATGATTTAATGCTTTGAGAATAAAAAAAATCACAAAGTTTCTTTAAAGTTAAATTAATAATTAAAACCTTGATGCTACAGAAGCAGCTGCCTAGAGTAAGAAATAAAAAAAATGTACCTGAAGAAGAGTACTTAGTTTAAACCTTGAAGCAAAACCCCTAAAAAAATCCAATTTTGAGTTCAATAAGTTTAAACCTAAAATGTTTGAGCATTAAACCTTCAGTATTCAGAAAAAAGATGAGAATGCAATCTTTTATTTGTCAGGGAGATAAAAAATAATAATATAACAGGATGAGAACAGGAAATTCTTATTAAATCACAATTTATTTGTTGTATTGCAAATCTATTTTGTAGATCAGGAGAAAGACCAGATCCTGTCAGACAGAATTTGTCTCGACTTAAAAAGAAAAAAGCTGTTCCATGTTTAAAACAAAGAAATGCTTCAGGGTGCTGTCAAATCAATTTAACTCCGTTTATTTATAGACCAAAGATACAAACAACACAAGTGCATTGTACACTAATTTGGATTTAAGCTTTTTTTTTTTTATCACATTACAACTATGAAGTATATATGTGATTCATCTGGATTTTATAAGATAAACCACAAAAAAGTAGGATATATTTCTGAAATATTTATTGAATAAAATGGGAAATATTCACGTTTTTTTACTCTCTGCCCTTTTGCAGAAACACCTTGTGACGCTATTAGTTTTCTGGCACATCAGGGAAGGACATTTCTCCCCTTCCTTTTTTGCAAAATGGCTCTGACTCTGTCAGATCAGATGGAGAGCATTTATAAACCTCAAGATTCTGAACCGAGCTCTGATCTATATCACTTTCACAGCTCTGCCTTTGTGTTTTGTTTCTTTGTCCTTCTAGAAGGTGAACTTCCACCCCCGGCATAAGCTGTTCTTCTCCTAAGATTTCTTTGTACGTATCTTGAAGTCACTGCAGAAGAGAAGCATCCCTACAGCATAATGCTGCCCTCAAAATATTAAATCATTGGGATTGTACACAAATAGCAACATGCATGTTTGCCATAAGCTCTGCTTTTAGTCTTATCAGACTAGATCAACATCTTCCACATCTTAGCTGTTTCATCTATAGGACTGGAAGGACTAAAGTTGTTCTGCAGGGACACTCACCAACCTGAGCTGGTCTTTCAGGGTTGGGGGGAAGGCCATTTTACACCATACTCATTTCATCAAACATGAACATTACTTTCTGGAATTTCCACAGTTTGGAATTGTGTTTCAATAGTGTTTCAATGCGTTACTTTGTCTCAATGTCAGTCCAAGAGCAGCTGTATTGATCCATCCATCCATTTTCTTCCACTTATCCGGGGTGGGTCTTGGAGGCAGCAGTCTAAGCAAAGATACCCACACTTCCCGATCCACACACACTTCCTCCAGCTGCTCTGCGGCGACACCAGTCCAGCACAGAGGCTTAGTCCCTCCAAAGTGTCCTGGGCCTTCCACGAGGGCTTCTCCCAATAGGACATGCTTGGAACGAGGAGGCATCCAACAGATGCCCGAGCCCCCTCAGCTTGCTCCTTTACTGAGTTCCTCACCCGATCTCGAATGGTGCACCCAGCCACCCGGTGAAGGAAACTCATTTCGGCTGCTTTTATTCGTGATCTTGTTCTTTCGGTCATTAGCAATATTGATACTGACATTAAATTACACATGCATCCAGAAATAAGGAGATATAAAGAATATTGGTTGCTCTTTATTTTATTTAGGGGTAACTAAGTAGAGGAAAGAGTAAATGGAATTGCCTTACTTTACACTTTTAGGTTTTCTACATGGAAAAGACACTTAAATTGCAGTTTCAATGAAGCACAGTGAAAGGCAGATGCAAAAGTAAGACTTGACCTGTCATAGCTGTTGGGGGTTGTTTTTTCCTCTTTGCTTTAGACTTGTTTTTCAATGCTAGCACTCCAGACACACCACCTGCTCTGCAGAAAGCTGTTCTTTTGTTCGTTGGGGTTGGTATTTCTTGTTTTCTCCACTCATTCCCCCCAGCGTGCAGCCTTAATTGCATTCAGCAGGGAGTGATGAGCTTGGACACCAGACACTAAACATTAGCTATTCATAACTCCATAGAACCATATTAAAAATCTGTTCAAGTTGGCTGACTGAAATGCAGGTTTTCTGCAGGGTTAGTCAGAGAATCAGAGGCATTTGTTAAAGCCTGCAATTTTCCTGGATACCAGTGAAACAACCCCTATTATACAAACATTAATGGCCCAAGCCTGTCATGTTTTGTACATAGGCAGGCATAATTGAAATCTCAGGCTTTTTAAATTCCTTTTAATTCTCTCAGAAAATGTCCCTCTCATGCCTAACTCATTATGGGCTGCATCACAGACAATATGTGGATATTAGCAGATGACCTGGATGACATGAAGTCGAAGCTCTGCTGCAGAAATTGAAAGGTTTTGACAGTTATAGAAAGTGTTTGTGTACAGAAGCAGCTCCTAGTCGAGCTGTTTTGTTTTTCTTTTCCACATCCTAAATTGTGGTCTTTTCAGATGTTTACAAAGAATAAAAATGATTGATCGTGCTCTTGCTTGCAACAATAAGAAGCTGATCTGCTCCTTTTTCCCAATAATACGTCCCCCGGAAATTAGTTAGCAGCACTTCAAAATAAATAGCTTATGGTTTGGAAGGAGTGAAAGAAAATGTGAAGCCCAAAAACGTAAAATCTATATAGCAAAAATCTATGTTGCCTCTTTCTTTTGTTTTTTTTTTAGAAAAAAAAGGTCCTGCTCGATGAATGTGCACCAGAAGAGAGAATATAGGTTAAACTGTCATTTCAACAAATTCAGTGAAATTTATATGCTTTGACAAGCAGTCTCTCCTCCATTTGCTCCTGACAAATGGCAGATCTGTTTACTGCTGATAATCTTATCAGATTCAAAATTGACTCATCATCCTGTCTCTGCAAATCTGCGTCTCTTTGACTCATCGACCCAGAGATGTAATGAAAGCTAATCTAAGCCTTCATCCATTTGGTCTGCAGGGCTGAAGATCCGCGAAGTGATGATCAACGTGTCACGTCAGCAGGTGGAGGACTTTCACGGCCCGGAGGATTACTGGTGTTTGTGTGTCGCCTGGAGTCACCTGGGAACCTCCAAGAGCCGCAAGGCAAGCGTCCGGATTGCCTGTAAGAAAAGTTAACTCAGTTTGTCTCTGTACTGACCAAACTTTTCCGACATAATTTTCAAACAAGTATTAGTCATTGTTTTTTTTTACGTGACAAATGCACAAGTGTTTCATTTAAAGTTTCCTCCTAATAGTTTAGCATTTGTTCTCTAATGCTGAGTTTCACTGTCTTTTCTAGACCTCAGAAAGAACTTTGAGCAGGACCCCCAGGGCATCGAGGTGCCTCTGAACGGCATGATTGTTCTGCACTGCCGTCCCCCAGAGGGAATGCCAGTGGCTGAGGTGAGGGCTGCTTGCACTTCAAAGAAACATTTTACCCGATGTTGCCTCGAGAGCAGCTGTCATCTGTCTGGTTTACTCATAGCTGTCATGAGAGAATACGCTTTTGCTCTAGAGCTTCATCTTCATTCTACATCTCAGTTCAGAGGTCATAAGATAAAGATAAAGCAGTTAGGTTTCCATATCAAACATTGATTATTTATTAATTTGTGGCATTACCATCACAAACAGGGTGTTTATTTTGATTTGATTTTATAGATCATCACAATTTGGTTTATAAATGTGAAGGGGAGGAAATAGATGCTGGTTTTTTTAATGTTATGAAAAATTTAGGGAATTTTTTAAGGTCATTCTAACCCATGAACATGTAGTTAATTAAACTATGTAGACAGTTTCTCAATATTTGTTTTCCTGCATTCTTAAGTGCACAAGAACACAAGGCCATATATACTTATATGCGTTACTATATGCAGAAGTACCGCTGGCTCTGATGGTGGTTTTTTTGTTTTATTTGGCAAAATATCCATTTGATTTGTGTTTATCAAACTGTGTTAACCATTATTCCCCCACTAAGTGAAAAAAGTCACAAATTGTTATTGCCTTGACTATTAATAACAGGAGATGAAAATCAGCTCCTGACGAGATGTGGTGATGTCACAAGTACATTTTTATTCCAATGAACACATATTTATGCTGTGTGCTTCTGTTCTCCACTAGTCCATACTTTCCTTTGGTCTTATCATGAACATACTTGGCGAGAACATGAGTCCATACTCGCTTTCATGTGGATTGAGAAACGGCCTTAGATTTTGTTAGCTCGCGTATTTGCAGCCTTGAGCGATTATCTGCTTCAAGAATCGAATCCTCTCAATCGTTTACTGCCACCACCGTGCTTCACTTAAGGAATGGTAAGTGCAGGCGCTCTCTAAAGTGCGCACCGTCTTTTACATGTTTGGCTTAGTCTCCTTCATGGTGTTCTTTCAACAACAGCTTTTACCTGCCACTCATTTATAAAGGCCAGATTAGAGCGAAAGAGTCAACTGATTCTTCTCCATGAGCTGTTAATCTCTGAGTCACGTTGAGTCTCTTGGACGGTCATCTGAATAATGCTCTAGTTATCAAGGCTATCTTTCTAGATGGAAGCCATATGTTGCTCATTTTGTATTCTTCCCATTCTTGTTCTGTCTTCGGATGATGGATAAAGTAGTACTCTATAAGTAGCTGGGTTTATTAATTTATAATTAATCCAGATTAGAGCTTCTATCTTACACTTTTTCTGACCCGTCTCCAATGTTCCTTGGTCTTTATAATGCTTTTTGTCAATAACCTGAAACCTTCACAGAAAATCTGAGATTAAATTACTTACAGCTGGTCTCTACATAGCTAGATAAGGCAATTTAAAGTAGGCAAAATATACATTAAGAACAGATTTCATTGTTACTTCCAATTAAAAACTATTTATCAACTGTCTTTCACATAATTCGTAAGGTATCATTGTTTGTTTGTGATGTAGATAAAATGCAAAAATGTCAATAAATATAAGTATTTTTAGTCTGTCTCAAAGGGGTGCCTGGTCAGGACTTATAAAATGCATCACATGCATTCATTTTTTTTTCCAATTCTTTTATTCTGCTAAGGATGAGTGTGTAATCATTTGAGAAGAAAAATCAGCTGTCACGGTCTTTTTAATTTTGACTATGAATATGAAATGAGGTTTTCACGGACATCCTTGTTGAGTAGTGTGTGTGGTGCTGCTCTCTGATGCGGTGTTCCTTCATGCGGAGGCTCAGCAGGGAAGTATGTCAATATCAGAGCCTGTGTGCCCAGCCATCTGAAGCTTTCCATTTACTAAAAGACACAGTGTGTGATCTATACAAAAACAAAACACCAATTCTAACCTCAAATTTAAAAAACAGCAAGCCTTTATGTAGACTAACCACAAGATTAATGAAATAGAATTGTTCAAACTTTAGTTAAAATATATATATATATATATATTAGGATATATATTCTCTAATATTACAAAATGACTAGTTAGGATCTGTCTGTTTTACTTGAACGTTTGATGTGAAAATAATGTTCACATAATACCAGCTCAGTCTTGCAGTTCCATTTGCTTTAAATCTGATACATCCTTCAATACTCCTGTGCCGGCACACAGGTGTCAGTGCTTTGTTCATCAGTCAACAAAGACTAGATTAGCAAACTTCAGGGAGAAGCAACCATAGTAACTGAGGTGAGCAAAGGCAATAGCAACCTCTGATATTTTCAGCTTAAGGAAGAGAAATAAAGGTTAAAAAACTAATTCAAGATGGTTGATCTAAAACGAATGTCCTTCATCACATAATTTGTTTTTCTTTTAATAAAAACTAATGGAGAAGTTCTACTGATTTGAATTTATTTCAGTTTCTTAAATGGATGTCACAAAGATTGTTGTTTATCAACCTTGCTAGCTGTTTGTTGCAGTAAATAATGCATTTAAATTACAGTTCCTGGTTTTTTTCAGACCAGATTTTTCCTTTTTTTTAATTAATATTAAAACAACACCTATTCGTTTTTCCATTACCATGTCTTCTTATTTAAGCAAAGCTCCTTAGCTACTTGTACCCTTACTCTATGACCTACTAGTAAAAATGCAGTTCTGTAAATTAGCACAAAGACAAAACACTGGGTAAATAGGAGAATGGGATAAGTCAAATTAAGTTAGAGTTATATTAAGAAAAAGTAAGTTACACTCTTTTAAGTCTAGATTTGTTAGTGTTTGAAAAAGCATCAGTAAACATAAAATGAATGTGAACAATGTAAAGGTGTTTCTATAAATGGGAGAAACTGCAACAAATCGTTTGGCTAAAGGTTAGAAACTATAAGGCTTGCCTTTACTAAAAGTTCTAAAATAAACAGTAAACTAATTTATTACAATGTTTAATGTTTTTTTAAAAAGATTTCTCCCAGAATTCCAAATTATTTTACATTTACCACACCATCCACTTCGCTTTTTTAGCTCCCCTGTCCCTTTTCAACTAAAGCAAGCCTGCACAATGCAACCACATTATTCCACCTAAATCATCATCTGTATATGTGTGTGTAAAATTGTTATTAAGAAAAAGGCTCATCATAGCAGGACACTTTCTTGTACGTTTTTTCGTGCCCCCTACCTGCCTTTGTGCGAATTATAATCAGCTCCTCACATTCATGTCATTCTAGTTATCAGTGTATTTCCTGTAAAGATCTCTGAAGTTTTTTTTTCTTATAAAAATCTTGCTACTGCAGTATGTGTAAGGTCATTTAATGTCTTCCCAAGATCACACATTTTAAAGCTTAATATTTAATAGTTGTTTCATGGAACTGAAGAAAACTGTTTGATTGATAGAAAAGAAGCAAACTGCCAAGTTTTCTACTTGTTCTCTATAGGCAGGGAAGGACATGCTGAGAAAGACAACCAAACCCATGCAGGTTTTGTTCAAAAAGTAGCAGAAGAATTAACCAATTATATTTTAATTAGCAGTGAGTTAAGCCTAAGGCTGTCTTCAGAGGCCAACATTTTTCTTGCATGTAGTTAACTCAAAGCATTGAAATTAGGGCACAAATTACACACTGAGGATCACAGCAGCTATTTTCTTTGCTATGAAAGTACATTAAAAAGTAAAGTTCTGTGCATTTCAGAATATTCCATCATATTAATGTACATTTAAAGCAAATACATAAAACATTGAATAGAATCTGAATAGAATCGAAGGTTGGCGAAGACAGATGGAAGTTAATATGCACTCCCATCTTTCGTTAATGCATTAGCGATTATAGCAATGAGAATGATGGAGTGATATCCTCAAGTTTTAGACAATGCCTACCTTTAATAACGATAGCCAAAAAAGTATATGCTTCCAGGTGATCATTTTATAAAATCACAGATATAGTCAGCCGAGACTCTTGGGGTTACTATTCTCCTATTATATTACTTATTTTGTTTATTTTTGCTTAGTTATTTGACACTTACACAACTGACTTTTGATTCTTGTACCACCCTTGGTTTTATCAAGCATGCATTCAGGCTCTAATTGGATGACAGGCAGGCAGGGGGCTGCTGGTTGTTAGACGTCCAGTTGCATGTAACAATCTGTATTTCAACATCCGCAAAATTTAGCCCTTTTTTACTGAGGTTTTTCTGTTCTGTAGTATTTTTTCCTCATTCTTTTTCAACTTTTAGATATTCCAAGATCTCAGTCTTTAAAAAAAGAAAACTACTTGTTAAATCCAAGGGATAGAAATACATCATTTAGGAAAGATTTCTATTTAAAAGAGCAATTCTATGAGGAGAAGAAGATTTTACGTTGTATCATGTGTTATAAAAAAGACAATCATTTAGTTGATTGCTGTTGTGCACCAATATGTCTTTTTTGTTTAATACTCTTTAATACATTGATTGTGAAAGAATACACGTGTGTCCAAGTATCTCTCCATTACCTTGAATACTCTGTGTGCTGCATAATATGTTGCCATCCTACAATGTGATGTCAATCGATGTTGCATGTTCGTCCCCTTCAGCTTTGATACAGGAAGTGTTGGTTTTTCTCACTATTAGTAATAGAAGACTTGTCTGTCATGGTACTTTTTATAAAGTATGCACTGTGGCTTGTAGGTAACCGTTACATATTAAACAGCACCATGGACCCCTATTCCTGTTGGCGTAGGGGTCTAAGTGATTTCGAATGAAAGTTTCTTGGGTGTGAAGCTTGTGCTTAGGGAAGATTTGTTTGAGATTTCTAGAGGATACCTTGTTTTAAACCTGCAGAGCTCAGTATCCAGTTAGATAAATCAGAATGGAATGGGTGTTGGAAAAAATAAGTCCTTGGGTTCTGGGAAGCATGGAGGACAATCTATAACAATGTTAATGGCTGCTAAGAGCTTCTTGAAATGTAGGTTTGACTTTACCATTATTGTCAACCCTCAGTCAAGAGATGTGTCTCTTCATTGTTTAGCTTGTTAGAACAGCAATCACAGATTTA